CTGTTATAATTTATCACTCAAGTAACTCCAGTAGAGTGGGAAGCTAGAATACAAACACTGTGAATCTTTATAACACACACACACAAACACACACACACACACACACACACACACACACACACAGGAGGGATGTATGCATGTGAGTGAGAGAGAAAAAAGAGAAGAGAGAAAGAGAGGGATGGATGAATGGAAGCAGAGTAAGAGAGGGAGAAAAGGGGAGGTAACTGCTTAAGGAATGGTAAAATTTCTGTATAAGTGCACATCTTTCAGTTCATGCTAACCATTTACTCGATATCTACTGATATTTTGAGTTCTATTATCTCCAAATGTGAATGAGTGTTGTCTTAGAAACTAAGAGTTTATGACTATTCATTATCTCCACCTCCTCTACCTCCTCTTGAATTGGCAATTTTTTTCCTTTGTGCCAGCACGGTCTCCACTGGGAACACATTTGCCCTGTTATACTCTCCACAATATGTTGGGGAGCACTTCTGCTCTCTTATACCCTATTTTCCTGAGGTTTTTGTGATGAAAGAGTTATCATCCTTAATCCTTGGATCGATAGAGGTTACACATTTCACAAGTCAAATGAACAAAGTAATCAACTTCCCCAAATTACATTGCTTTATAGATCAAAGAGAAAGAGGAAACTTTTCATCGATCTTTCCACCATGTTCTTCACAAAAGCCTGACATTTGCCCTCCCCTTGAGGTTAATCACTATTCTCTCCACATAGACTTCTACAAAGGAATAACTTTGAACTTATAGTTTCCCTTCTTTTAGAATTTTGCTTCCCTTAAAGTGGACAATAAATTCTACTTTTTAAAGTAGCGAGATTAACGGGATTAAGTCATTGGGTTTTTAAATTTTTTTTAATTAAAAAATTTTTAATGTTTATTTTTGAGATAGTGAGCAAGTATGAGTGGGGGGGGTTGTGGGAGAGAGAGAGGGAGACAGAGGATCTGAAGTGGGCTCTGTGCTGATAGCAGAGAGCCGGATGCGGGGCTCAAACTCACAAACCATGAGATCATGACCTGAACCAAAGTCGGATACTTAACTGACTGAACCGCCCTGATGCCCCTGGGGTTAAGTAGTTGTATGTTAATTGCCTCCTTATTGAAAAATTGTAATGCAGCAAAAAATGGGTAACTTAAGAAAATTTATACTGGAATATTTTTTGAGGAGTAGTTAGGGGAAACATTCTCAATTTCAGCCAGCAATTAATTGCTCATATTTTCCCCTTTTCAGTCATTGTGATGATTGCTTATTTACTTCAATGACCAAAGTACCGTGTTGCTCTTAGTAACACAGAGACAGAACTTCATACAGTTAGCTGGAGAATTTCTCCTAAATTTGGAACAATATATCTAACAGATAAGAAAATATATTTATAATCTCTTGATTACTCAGTACTTATTATCCCAGAAGTTCATCTACAGCTCCTCTAAATTACAGAATTCTATGTAAAATAAGCATGTGGATGATGCATCACTATAGAGAATATTAGATACTACAAGAGGGGAAAAACAGCATAGAGATAATGCACAAAGACAGAGACAACTAACTCCCATTTTTAGGGAGCGGATTCTCGGAAGAGTGGTTCCAAGGAGGTGTTGTAGATTGGATTCCCCAGGTTACAAATTCTAACATGGATAAGAGCATGTAGGGAATTTATTACAGAGTACTTTTGGGGATGGAAACCTGTGGGAGATAAGGGGATGAAGTAGGAGAAGTCAGAAGGAGAAGTTGAGATGCAATGGAGTGTCAATGGAGGCTTCACTGAGTTCTGCAAACTGAGATGACCCACCAGAGTTTTCCCAAGTTGACTGGCCATTATATCTGTATGACCCCAAGAAGGAATGTGCCCTTGGATAGAGTGTCTCTTTTTTACTCAGGGAGTTCCTAAACAGGAATTACAGCTAACTACAGTCTCTAGACAATAACTGAGGGAAGAATTCCTCCTTTCATAAAGAACAACCTGAATGACGTCCACTGCAGGAGGTAATGTTTGCAGTAAACAGGCTGGTACTTGAAGGAGAAGTGAGTTTCTCAGTTGTACTGGAACATGTCACACCCTTGTTTCTCTGGCTGCTTCATCCTAACAACAGCAGAGGTATTTCTAACAGAGGTATATGGCCTGCAAAGCCTAAAATATTTAGTATTGAACCCTCTATAAAGGAAGTTTGCTGACCTTTGATATAGGGTTACTACCGTCAAGTAGTATTATACCACACCCTAGTAACATGAGGACCTTGATACATAATATATCTGTGCTGGCCCCTGTCCTTTGTGCACTTGTCGTCGTATGTTTTACTTCTACCTCTGTTAAAACCTAATTCACTGTCACTATTTTTGTTTTAAATGCTCAATTATCTTTTAAAGAAATCTGAAAACATGAACAAATACTTTGTATTTACTGTTGCGTCTACCATTATCAGCATTCATTTCTTGATACGAGTTTCAATATGGTATGAGTAAATACGATGTGATATGAGTAAATGTGATAGTATAAATATGAGTAAATGTGATATGATATGAGTAAATATGAGTCTCAATATGGTAAATTTTCCTGGAAGCTGAAACGTGTACATTTCTTAAAGTATGTACCTATTGGTGATGAATTTTCTCAGCTTTTGCCCTAAATATCATTTTTTGTTCATGTTTAAAAGATATTTTTGCTGGATATAGAACATTAGATTGACATATGTTTTTTCCCTTTCCTTTTCATCATAACAGGTAATGTCATTCTGTTGTCTTTCACCTTGCATCATTTTTGCTAAGATATTATTGTCCTCTGGCTACTTTTGAGATTTTTCTCTTTAGCATTATTTTTTTAACCAATTGATTATGATGAGACTTGGTGTTGTGTTTTGTATTGTATTTATCCTTTTATACTGCTCACAGCTCAGTGAATTCCTTAGATATCTAGGTTTATTATTTTCAGCCACTGTTTCTTCAAATTGATTTTTTTCTGCCTCAATCTCTACCTTCTCTGCTTTTAGTTCTCTATTTGCATGATTGTTAAGACACTTAATATTGTCCTGCAGGCCACTGGAGTCGTGTCCATTTTTAAGCCTTTTGTCCCTTCTGAGCTACAATTTGAAGGGTTTATGTGGCCCTGGATTCAGACATTAATGTTTCCTTCTCAGTTTATAATCCAGTACATGTTTTATTTCAGGTATAAACATGGTTCAGAAACTTCTATTTTGTTCTCTTTGTTTATCTTTTCCCCATTAATATCTCATATTTGTTTCTTCACTATTTGTATATTTTCTTTCAAATAATGAACTAATGTATAAGCTCAGTGTTAAAGTCCTGGTCTGCTAATTTTATCATCTCTGTCATTCTATTGGCTGTCTTTGCTCTGGTTGTAAGTCATTTTTTCCTGCTCCCTGAAATGTCCAATATTTTTTAAAAAAATCTATACTGAGCATTATGGATGCTCTGTCACTGAGCTTCTTCTGACCATTCATGGCTTTCCTTAATGAAGTGTTGCATTTTGACTGAGCAAGAAGTTAATTTATTTGTAGGTCAGACTGATCCTTTTTCAGGCTTATTACCAATCTTTGTTCAGGTGTGTCCTGAGTAGCCCTTATTTTAGGACTCAATCATCCTAACCTTTCTGAGATCTCTGGTGATGCTATGCAGATTTTCAGGGCTCTTTCTCTTTACAGCTGCCCCTTCCCTGGTACTTTGTGCTACAGATTCCATCTGTAGGATGGAGCTTTGATTTTGATATATCTTCATCTCAGTGACACTGCTGAACTCTGTTTGGGACACTCTTCCATGTGCCAGAAAGTGAACCAGGCATTACCTTATTTTTTTTATCTTCTCTTGTGGATCAGGGATCCTGCACTGTCTGTTGTCTAATCCCTATAAAGGGTAATTTTATACATTTTGTAGTTATGTGATTTTTTTTATGGCAGGAAGGGTATTCTATCATAGCTGAAAGCAGAAATAAGCCATATAAACATCATTAAATGAATGATATATCTGTGATGATTTACAAAATGATTTCTCTTACCGTGGTCCTCATAGAATAAATTATTTTATTGTCAGCTTTTAAGTTTTTTTTATTTGAAAAGTGATGCATATGTATATCTAAATACTGTACATTGGATGATTTATTGAATATTTCATTATCATTTGCTCCCATTGGTAGCCAAATTCACTCAAAAAATTATTTTGCTCCTTAGCACTAAGCATTATGGCATATTTTCTGTAATGTATTTATGTACAACCATCGTTATTTTCCATAGTGGTATAGACTAGGAGTATTGTTCCATATTAATGTTCTATTTCTAAAGATAGTTTTACCTTTTTGTTATCTGACAATTATTATATTTTACCAAAAGGAGTTTTACTTCATTTAGTAACTAAAATGATTTTCCTAGAAATGTTGTTATCAAGAGGCGTTGGTTGTTTATCTCTTAAATGTTAGTGAACGAATTACCTGATTAGCTATATACCTTATTTCTCATGAGTACAGAGCTTAATGTAAGATTAGGCCTCATCTTAAGAACTATGAATATTCTTTGGGCTCCCAAATTTTTAAAGCAAAATAGACTTTAGAGTTGTACATAATTGCTTTTTGTTCCATTTGTAATCTACTCAAACATAAAGCCCCACATGAGGAATTAATAGATTGTTACATTTTTTTTTCCTAGTGATTTTTAGTTGAAGAATTCATGGTAAATTGATCAACCCTCAGCCAATTAGACTCTGACATGTACTAATAAGATCTAATTGAGGAATGATGAAGACATTTGCTCAGGAGAAAATGAGCACATAATTACACCATAAAGAGGTTAGAGTATCAATGTTACCCAGCTGGAAGAATATTAGTTGAAGTCCCAATGGCATCTATAAAGGACACTCCATAATATGTCTATGAATGTTGCACTGCTAAGGCCAATTAAAAGATGTAGATAAATCCATTATCAACAGTAGAATTTCAGCTCTAAATATCTGTTTTCCTCTCTTGCCTTAACCTTCTTCAGGTGCTGGGGGATGGTCTCCATCCGACAGTGACCATTACCAATGGCTTCAGGTTGACTTTGGCAATCGGAAGCAGATCAGTGCCATTGCAACCCAAGGAAGATACAGCAGCTCGGACTGGGTGACCCAATACCGCATGCTGTACAGTGACACTGGGAGAAACTGGAAACCCTATCATCAAGATGGGAACATCTGGGTGAGTCACTGTCAGAAAGGCAAACACAGAATTGAGTGGCAGATGTGTGACCTCAGCCTGTCCAGGTCCTGGCACGATCTGGGGAGGTGGAGAGGGTTTGGTGGTGGCCTGGCTGAAGGTTTATCTTGTCAGTTTTGTTTCTTGCCTTTGTGTTCATGTCCTCTGGTACTTGCTGAGGGAGAAAAAAATGTGAGCAAAGCAAAAGGAGGTGGGGAAATGGATCAAAATCACAGTGTGCCCTGCCCCACCTCTTGCCTTTCCTAAATGGTAGAAAACCCTTATCTTGCAGAGTGGATGCGTCCCCCTTCCCTGGTTTCTAGTATATTTCACAGAAATCAAAATCTCCCAAGAAACCTGTGTTAAACCTGAAAAAAAAAAAGGTAAATAATTTCATGATAGTAAGGTACTAGAATTTTGTTAAACACAGTATTTCAAGTTACTATATTTTTTTCTGGAGTACAGAATGGAAATGGTACAAATTTTACCAACATACCAAAGTGAGTTAAGGATATAGAATAAAAAAAAAAAATCCTGACTTAGGTTTTCATTCCTTACTCCCCCTCTCTCTCGCTTGCCTCAGACTGTTTCTGTTTGGAGGTATTTAATTAAATCATTAAAGGACAACATGAGACAAGGTCTACTGCCAACCGAGCTTGGATGAACTGGCGGGCACTGGGCAGGGGGCTGTGGAGTCTGAAGCACTTTACCACCTGCCAGAAGCAAGTTCAGTTTTTCTTTTGCTTTAATCCGGGCCTGTTCGGACGAAGCACTATTTACTGAGTTACTGACCATTTATGTATAAAGATAAAAATCAGATAGAAAAATGGTTTTGTTTTGTTTTGTTTTGTTTTTAAAGAAAAACCAAATGGAAGACCAGCCGTAGCTCTGGAGCACGTCAGGCAACACCCTCAACATCCCCTCCCCCAAACAGTTTTAATTTTTTTTAAATGTTGCTGGTCCTCACTCTGAGGTGTATACACTTGTCACTGTTTGTCTGACCAAAGCCATCAGGAAGCCATTCATTCATCGAGTCAGTCAGTCACTCAGTCAGTCTTGTTGATTGAAAAAATAGTTTCCTCTGGCTGCAATTTCTGCCCAAGGCTCAGGGCAATGAGTCTTAATATGCGCTGTCCATTTGAATCACCTAAACAGGTTTTAAAGTTCGTGGATTCCAGGTACACTCAGATCAATGAAATCCAAATTGTGTAAATAGAAATTAGGTTAATGACAATGATAGCTTTTTTTGAAGACAGAGATCTTCCAATTCAGGTAAAATATTGAATTGTGAGAATATAATTGAGAGGAGTAGGAGCAGTAATATAGGGCAAGAAAAGAAATGCCCCATATTTTATTTAGGCCATTATTATATTAGTGGTCTAGACCTTTATTGCAGATCTGTATTTACTTCATTCTGTTATTATGAGAGAAAAATAGTTTAAACCACTTACTCTTAAAATATTTCAGTTAAATTGGAAAGTTGTGTGACTCCAATCAAATGTTCAGCACGTTTGAATAAATTATTTTAAAATACTAAATTTCGAGGGATCTAGTCTAGTTTAATTATTTAGAAAAGCATCCATAACCAAAGCCAAGTAAAGCCATCAATGTTAAACAGGAAGAAAGAAGGAGGAGAAAGAGGAGGTTCACTTCTTAAATTGCGTCCTTCACAGTATTAGGTAGAGTGCTGGGAATTTTCAACCTGATTAATGCCCCTCTCCCTTAGAGAATTTATATTTTAAAAATCCTCCAGTAATCTTTGTGAGGAGACAGAGTTTAGAGCTCCTAGTTTGGGTAGGTGGTCATCTCCATAGCAGGAACCAGTGTTCGTAACTGGTGTGTAAAATTAGGATATAATGCTCTGATAATAAAAAGTCCTCCAGAGTAGTTCTTTAGAAATAGCTTTTACTAAGCCATGATGATATGACAAAAACATGTGTATATTGAGATGGATAAGCTGTAGGAAGCAAGAAGTGGAGAAAATGTCTCTTTATGGAAAGTCTTCCTCTTACAATTAAGGTAATTCAAAGCCCCAAACCTAATCTACAGAGAAGTAATTTTCAACTAGAATAAACTAGAAAACTTTAAATGTGTGGATGTGTGGGTCCCACTTCTGGAGATTTGGTTTAATTAGTCTATGGTGTAACCTAGGCATCAGGATTTTAAAGTTCCCCAGGTCATTGTGATGTATAGCCAACACTGAAAACCATATTTTAGATGTTTTCTGGCCTATGGGGAGGGTGGGGGTGGAGGAAGGTTATTGTGACATTAGGTTTTATTGTGATATTAGATATTAGGTTGTTAGAAAGGACCTTCCTCGAAGTTTAGCAGAGAGAAAGAGTCTGACCCCACAGACCAACCAGACAACTGCGAGTAGACAGTTAAGGTTCAGCACACAAATTCTGCCAGTAAAGCATTCATTGTTTTCCAACTCTCTGTGGACTTTAACTTGAAATCAGATTATCATGTTGGTGAAATTATTTGAGGGCTGCAAACTGGACTCCAAACAATCTTGCACGTTTCTGTTTTTGTAAAGTGTCCATCCCATGATTGAGAGTGCTCAGTCCTCTCCTATCGTAGTGAGAGTGATGGCTGCTAAAATACAGAGGTATTTGGGCTTTACTTTACTTACCATGTACGTAGCAGTTAGGGATAGCTCATTCTGACTAAATACAGAGACATAAGTTCAAAGAGCTAAGAAAGGTGGAATTTTCCAGGGTAAGTTGGACTCTTGGTTTACATAAGATACCAAGTGTTGGGTGAAGGGGACAAGGCCATGAAATGGAAATATCACCAACTGTGAAGGTAGACTACATCTCCATTCAGGGCTCTCCACCTTTTCTGATGGTGTGGAGTGTATTGTTTCCTGCCATTCTGACGTTCGTCTTGTTTCTTCCTTTCAAGTCCTATATATATATTTTTGTTGTTAAAAATAAGTATGCGAGGAGTGACTATTTCTCCGTGAAAGTGTAGTGAGCTACTTATGAAATTATAGAACTCAAAACAAGTGTGAGACAGAAACTATATGCTGTGAAATATTTTTGAGTGCCAGTGAGCCTGCAACATAATGATTATGGTTTCATCGTCGCTAATGTGAAAGTAGTCCATTGCTCTGACGTATTCTAAACGAAGTAAAACTCGTTTTCTAAAAATTCTTGAGGACTTTAGAGCTATGTCTTAGCATGCATTGAGTGATTAACATTTAGCAATTACAGATCTCGACGAAAATATGTTTTGGACATAAGTTTATTAAACATTAAATATTAAATTTTATTGTAGTCCGACTACTGCTTAACATGATGTGTATTGCACTTAAATGAAAGAGATTTCTGAAACAGATTTGGGTAGCCATTTGATGGACAACACCCTATACCATGGGAAGTTTCAGATAGTTAAAAATTTTTGAAGCTGATCTGGTTAGGAAGTTGCTTTCCTCAGCCGTTCCTAAAATGATTGATCACCTGAGAAGAAGACACATTAATGGGAATCCAATCACTTAAGTGTTACTTTCAACAAATGTCAAATGGTTATTCCTTCTGCAATTATAGGGGGATGGACAACACAGCCAATTCTTTTGTCATATTGTTATTAAATGTTCCTGTGGAGAATCTATTGGATAATATGTTAAAATACGTGAAAAACAAGTCCTGTCAGCGAGAAATTATGACAGCTTAACAAGATTTTAAAGTCGTGAATCTAACTGTGGAATCTGATTGTGAAATGATGATGGCTCTTGAAAATATTCCTGAAGAATGGTTTATCTGAATATTTAATACTCAAAGATGTGAGTTGCTAAATGTGCTTGGCTAGTCAAACCTTCTCATTCCTCAGTGATAATCCTAGACATAATGGAATTCTTTATACTTTATTCACAATGCCATTCCCTTCTCTTCAGAATTTTCTTTCTAATATAGAAGAAAAATACGTATAGATTGGTAAAATCGCCTACCCCTCCCCCCACCGAAAAATCATTCCATTTGCATATTCCACAAACTCTAATTTGCATACTGCTCTTGAGGTGTTTTCTGGTTTCCTAAGTATAATCTGTAGGAGAGAGAGGAAATAGTCTGTCTGAGCATTTCTTATCAAAAGTCCATTCAGCATTACATTAAATAAGAATTCCAGCAGATTTTTGCTGGGAGGCTGCATTTAGTTTTGCTTGGGAAATTCAATTACCGGTTTTTGAATGCAGATATTTGGATCCAAAATAGGAAATTGAAGTATTAATAGTGAATGCCTTCTTTACATACCATTATTGTTTTGCAGGAGAGTAACATAGTACAAGTTTACCTATAACTTAAATGTAGTTTTTCTTTTTCTTTTTAAAAAATTTTATTAAATGGTGAGAAAATGCTTATATATCCCTAGTTATTTTTTAAAGGAGTTTTATCCCCTTTGTTGATAGTAGGCAGGTTTCAACCAGAGATCAGTGACCACTGAATTTATTAGATGGAGAATCCCACAGAACAGAAATGTTTACTATATTTAAATTACATCATTACATATTTATCAAGAATATAGGAATATATAAGCCCGTATTCTCTAAGCAATATTAAATAAAATATTAATTTGCTAGGTAAGTTAGAAACCTGGATCTCTTACACGCTTTTTTTCACATACGTACTCACACAAAAAACTTCATTGTTTCTAACACATTTGAAACATTTAAAAATATGAAAAGCAAATAACAGCACATTAATTGATTAAATTCTTTGTTTTTTGAATATCAGTTCAACAGCTGGAATATGTATTCTCTACCTCCTTTTTAATCAAATATCTTACCAACTGATATCTACATAATAAAAGTTCCTAAAACATCTTTGTAGGTTGTAGGTAAGTAGGTTCACTTAGTAGGTTTCCCTAAGTGAAAGCCAAGATTTGGATTCAAAAGAACTGAATTCAAGTATCTGGGTTCGTATATTCAGTTTATAAACTCGGAGAAGTCACTTGGGAGTAATGTCTCTTGGGAGGTTTACATGAGATTAAGTAAGTAAAGAAATTTA